AACCTTGGAAGAGCGCCTCCCCATGCTTTTTAATATGCCATTTCGAGAAACAATCAAGGAAGACGAGGGAACCCCATTTGTGAATATGTGGAGAACAGCACCAACAGCTCTCACCGTTGAAGATGATCCCATCTTTTATTTGTTTTACTAGGGCTGTGGGATTTGGTTCCTTTTTTTTTGTTGGGGGGGGGGGGTTGTTAACAAATGGTTAGAGAATGACAGTGCTGCTTTGCACTTCCTCGGACAACGAACGGATAGCTTGGACCTTTGGTCGCATATACGAGGCCTTATGTCTTGCTCCTTTACCGATTGCAGTATAGCATAAAATGGGCCAAAAATTCCAACTTTATTTTTACAGTTTTCACTTTGCTATTTTTGCCCCTGTTTTGGCATGGAAAATTATCCTAAGAGATTCGGCAAAACCTTCTTAAATTGTTCGGTTTAAACTTTACCAAACATAATAGGCCTGCCAAATCAGTGCTTAAACCTCTCATGCATTTACCCTTAAAAGATAACATACAAGTTATAATTCAAATTTCGAAAGAACAAATAGAGTAGAACCAAATGGCATTGGAAATTTGGAATGAAAGTGACAAGTCATTTTCAAGTGTCAACCATTTAACTTGTGTTTATTATTTGGTTAAATGAACATGAAAGAAAAAGTATGAGGAAAATGTGTCATAAGCCCCTAATGAAAAGTAAAAGGACAAAAAAAAAGGTTGAAACTTGAATAAGAAATCATGGCCGGTAGTACTTTATTTCCAATCACAAAACACTCTACTTATGCTTTTCCATCGAATGATGTTTCCAGCTTCCTTCACCAATAATCTTGAACAACATCGATACCTTGCCTTCACCAATAATCATATAAAGCAACATGAAGAACAGAAGATGAAGTATATTGCTAAGAAACTAGTGGAAAATATCAGCAAGATTTGAAGTTTAAGTACATATAAATTTGTTCTTAAAGAATTTGTGACAAATTCATGAAGCACTAACCTTGGTTTGATCCAAATTCTATCCTACAAAAGGCTTTTTCAAGTACCCCTGTGTTGTCCTTCAACGCCACTGCAATTGACAAAACATGCTGATGTGCACTTGCATTGCCATTGGAATCCACATTCTGATTCCTTTGTCGAGCACAATGTCCCTGAGTGACTGGCATCTGATCACAATATTCAAATAATCCATACAAATATTGCGACAAGAAGCCAACACAAGGTATTCCAGAGATCCATGGTTCCCAAATGCTCTAACACCAACTCCAGTGACCAACTCACAACCTGTTAAATCAATAGCCACCAAGTTCACACAATTTCTAGCAATTGCAGTAACTGTGACATCCGATAAGTTGATCAGCCAAGCCAAATTCAATTTCTCCAAATTCAATTTATTGAGGCTCGAAAGTGAAGAAACCGCGAGGCCACCAGAATTTGTTATCTTTGACCCGCATTCAGCTAAATTTAGCTCCTCCAAGCAACACATGTGCTTCAACATTGACAACCCAGAATCAGTAATTCGATCACACTCTGCAAGGACCAGTTTTTTCAACGTTCTTGAGATGAACCCAGTTGCTAAAACAGTCAATCCATGGTCAGTAATCAATGAACAAGCTTCCAAATTCAAAACCCATATTGAATTGGAACACCCGATTTCTTCAACAGCTTTGTCATCCACCAGATTACACCTTCCTAAATCCAGAGATGTCAAATTCTTGCAGAACTTAACGAGGGAAATAACAGCAACATTGCCTACATTTTTTTCTCTTTCGCAACAACGCTTTCGTTAGATTTCGGCACCCAGTACAAAAAAGCGCTAATCCCATCGTTCCCAACATCTTCAAACCCGGAAATCCCACCAACTTCATCGATTTCTTCAAGTGTTTTCCTAAGATTAAGGTTAAGAACTTGGAGTATGGGACATGTTTTCGCCACGAATTCAAGATGGGGATCGGAGATAAAAATCTGGGTTTCAAAGAAAAGCAGATTTGGAAATCTGGGCATGAAACTGGGGAGGAGATCGGGCTCAAGAACCCGAATGGATAATCGGGATAAACCTTGCACCCGCAGCCATTGTTTGCAGACTCGAGAGAAGGATTTCCTGTCGTTTTAATCATAAACCCATTTGAGAACTAAGCTGGACTCGTCGTCACCCAGTCTCGACATGAAGATAACAAATCTAAACTCTTTTACGTTTTTCTATGAATTGAACGGGTAGAACCCAGAGAAAAACGACAACCAATACCAAATAAAAAAAAAAACCCTTACTCGAAGACAAAAGCTATGTAGACTACAAGAGTACGAGTATGGCACCCCACTAATTTCAAATGTGGTGGTTTATATGGGAACAACCCATTTCCCAAATTTAATACTTCTTTAATGAGAAAATGAGATGTGAAATCTTTCTTAAAACTTTAAAAGAAGAAAATCAACAGTGATTTGTATATGAGCTTGGCTTCTATTTCAAACTCTTTTTTTCCTCATAGTATGTTTAATTTGTAACCTTCAAAATAGAATAATATTATGCATGAATCAAGTTATCTTAATAATTAAAAAAATATTATTATCTTTAAAAGTTTTAAATTTAAACATTAAAGAATATAAAAATATTTAAAGATTCATTATTAAATGAATAAAATATTTTAAAATTAATATTATTTTATAATTACCGAGATTAATGGACGAAAAAGAAGAATAAGAAGAAGCATGAGCAAAATGTTGTCCTTTGGTAACCATATTGCTTTCAGTATTGGAGCTCTGACTCAGCTACATCAAATCATTGCCAAACTCTGTTGTATTAATTAATGCAAATCTACCTTACTTTTAAATAATGCGTGATCGGTATTAATAAATACTTTTATTTAATTTTGTATACTGATTTTGTGTTTTGGATGATCTACATTTTCATGCATTTATACACATACAATATAATTAAAAATATTAAGAAGATTGTTTATTGTTTTAATGATTAAATGGGATTAACCTCTTACTAATAAAAATAGAATTATATATCTTTTAACTATAGAAAATGTTAAGAAAGTAAAAGAAATGTGTTACTTATACCTGGATTGGAACATCTTAATCTCACCTGATCAGAGGTGGTTCAAACTTGGCATTCATGGCTGCCGACATTCTGTATATTCCAAACTTAAACATTAATTTTCCTACTTTCGCTTTCATTCACTTCCTTTTTAGATAATTCTCTGTTGCCTATTTTAAATTAATCTCTATTTCGTGTCTTTGGTAATTGTCCCAAAATTGATTTTATCTTCCTTTATTTTTCAACGCTTTAATTTTTATTTTACATTATATGGCTTTTTTTGGGTTAAATGGCGAATTTAAATCCATATTACAAGAGAATGTTGGTGTTTTTATTGATATTTACCGTTCTACTTTGAGATTATGATCATTTTTTTACCAACAGATTTGTCACCGATATTTTTAAAATAATAAAATTAGGGTAATCACTCAACTATCATTTTGATTCCGTTTTGATCACCTAATTATTTAAAAAAAAAATAGTTTCGTTTTCATCACATGTCGTTAAAAAAAAGAACTGCTGACATGATATTTTATTTTTAAATTTTTTTAATGATGATATTTTATTATCTTATTATGACATATCAACATTTTAACGGATAACGACTAAAATGTAATATTATGTATGATTTTAAAAAAATAATTTTTTTTTGAAAATTTTAAAAAAAAAGGTTACTTCAAATATTTTATTTAAAAACATTTAATAAGAGATCAAATAATCAAAGAAGGATGGATCATATTTACAATTGAATATGGTATAGTTTGTTTTGGTAGTCCGAGATTTTAATTTAAGAAACAATTTTAATTAAGTAGATATTAATTATTAATAGAATAATCATTTAGTTGGGACACATATCTTAAATATTAATCAAACCGAAAATATAATATGATATTATGTGAACATTTATTGAAATGATGCCGATAATTTAAATACAATATTTTAAAATCTAGGAATAAATTTAGAATAAAGGTCAAGTTTGGAGGTCTTGTACGCGATTAACTATATAACAAATTTAGAACAATTAGTTTATATACCAATAGTAAAATTAAATTAAAATTCACAAAAAGAGTTTAAGATTAGAGATGTGCATTTCACCTAGAATAGATTTGAAGGGTTCCAACCCGACTAGATTGAATTGTTTTTATTTATTTAAAATTTCAAGTTAAAATCAAGTTTTTTTTAAGGTGGGCGAGTTTAAGTATGATAAAAATTGACTCGATTTAATATGTTATTTATTTATTTATTTATTTTGGTACAAAAATGTTTAGGTTAGGGGTGGCTTCCCAGTCTAAAGTCAGAGCATACTTAAGACTCAATTGAGGTTTACTTAAGAATTTACAGTTTGCCCATCAAAAGTGACCGTGGTAAGATTCAAATTTGGCATTACAAGCTTAAATTCTTAAATCTCAACCACTTGTGACAACACTCATTGGCCGGTTCGATATGTTATTATAATTATTCTTTTTATATTTAAAAATGATAATAATAATAATAATAATAATATTTTCTATATTGTTTTTTTCAATCAGTTTCTTATTTGACTTAATAAAATGAATTTATATATAGAGAGTGGTTGAGTCAAATCGAGTATGAATTTTAACTTAAAAAATCAGATCAAATTTTAAATTAGATTAAACTCTCCTATATACGGCTCGATTTAAGTGCGATTGAAATTATTTTGTTTTTGGATGGGATTGAAGTGAGCCTAAAACTCGACTTAATTTGACTTGTAAATATACCTAATTAAGATATTATCACGTGTCTTTATAAAAAAATAATAATGAAAGACACATGATATTTTAAATACACTTATATAATTTTTAATTTTATTGATAGTTTAGCGAGTATTAATTTATAAATTTAAATAATTAAATTTAAATATTAGTTTTTATATATTTAATTTACAATGATTATGTTAGGAAAGTACTCTTGTAAAAGACTAGCGGCGTATTCGAACACCACCGCGACAACTTCATTTTATCTCCTCGCTTACTTCTACAACTCGCGTTCGCCCACATACCTGTTAAAACCCAATTCAGTGTGTGTTCTGAAAGATCATGTGGGCTTCCACTCCAAACTCTACTCAACCTTCAAACAAGGTACTTATCACTTCTTCTTCTTTGTTTTAGCTGTTTATCTTTTATTTGTACTCATCGATGGTACTTATGCGACACCAGAAGCAGAAAAGTGAATTATTAGGAGTGAGTTTCAAACCCGAAAACTTCATTCCGGGCCTTGTTATCGGTTTCATACTTGGGTTATTTTGGGATTTGTCTAAACCCACTAAAACCCTTTCCAAGAAGAAGAATTTCCTACCTGGAAAGCTTCAAGAACAAGACTTTGTTTCCTCAAATGCTGACCAAGAACTTAAAATGGTATGTTTTTTCCCTTCCTTTGTATTCTCACTTCTTAAGAGTTTTATTTATTTCCTACTATAATTGTCACAGGTAACAAATGGTCAGGCATTTTAGTGTATTTAGGCTGCTTTGATGACTGAATTTCTTTTAGTATAAAAGGGAATTGCTGTACTTGTTTGATGTAAGCTAATTTTGCGTCTCTTCCTCCGAATGCTTAACTTGATTCTATATTTCCATTCGCTTTGCTGAATTAGTTGACTTAAATTTGTTTTCATGGTTATGGCAGGTTTTTGTGGTTAGACAAGACCTTAAGATGAAATCAGGGAAGATTGCATCTCAATGTGCCCGTAAGATTCTTCTGTTACTCTTAAAATCTGAAATTTTGCTTTCGATTTTAAAATCTATCTCTTTTTGGCTTTACTAACATTATCTCCTCAGTTACACACATACACACTCCCCTCCCACCATTGCGATTCCATGTATCCTAAACCTCAATTATTTGACTGAATTTTTCCTGCCCAAATAGACAGATGCTGCCACTGGCATGTATGCAGAATTGATGCATAGGTATGTTTCTCTTGATAACAAGTCAGTTTCTTAATTCAATATTCACTTTGTGACCTTGCTTTATTGGAAGATCCTCTTATCCGTGTTAGTTACTTGTGCAACTGAAATCATTTGATCAACCATAAAATCATGTAAAAACATTGCAGTGATCGATCCCTTCTAAGACAATGGGAGGATTGCGGGCAACCCAAAATAGTTGTTACATGCAGGAATCAACAAGAAATGTAAACGGGTGATTTTGTTGGGAACCGGGGGGGGGGGGGGTGTTCTCATCATATACATCTACTTACGTCTATAGTTGTGTAAGTGTACTTTCATTTTCTTGTCAGGAATAAGCTAAGGGAAGCAGCTGAGAATATTGGCCTTCCCACTTATGTTGTTGCTGATGCTGGTAGAACACAGGTATTTTACTGCATCAATTCGTGTAATCTCACAATTACTTTTCTTGAATGTAATGGCATATCCGAACTAATAGACTTGGTATCCTGATGCAATGGCAACTTTTAGTTGTTTGAGGTTCTATTGCAGTGTAAGGACTCTAGGCAGTTTTTCAGTTTTTCTACAGCATCATTGTGTATGATTGTTTAATTTCTTGGTTTCGATCTTTTAGTAAATTCATAGTGCTTATTATTTGGAAGAAATATTTGGGGCCAAGGTCTCATGACAGCTTTGTTTAACAGGTTTCAGCAGGGTCAAAGACAGTTCTTGCCGTCGGACCTGGTTTGTTTCTTTTATATTTTCTTCTAGAACTGCTGTTGTATTTGCTTTTCTGTGATAGATGTTTCATTATATTCCATGATGGGTCCAATGCATAGTAGGTGAAAATGATATGAGAAATGATCAAATACAGCTTCCTCACTTATGGATGTTGCAATTCACTTTCACTTTATTTTTCATGCATCCTTTTTTGTGACTGTGCAGGACCAAAAGTGGCTGTTGATTCAGTGACAGGAAAGTTGTATTTTCTCTAATGTTCTTGGAGAAATAAATCCCCATATTGCCGCCCGTCCATATTCCTCTGTCACGAGTCTAATCGGTTCACAACTAGTATGTTTCGGAGGAGGACTATCCTGTCATGAATTGTGGAACAAGCAATACAACAAATCAAAGCAGTTGGTATATGAGGATATCTAAATATTCATTAGTAGTAGTAGGAAAATACCAATTGGAATTGTTGCTAGAACACAAGTTTGCTCATTTCTTATATGACTATTATGTACCCTAACCATTGATGTGGATGCTTTCCCTACAATAAGTTTGTTAGTTATGATCCAGTGCTATTCGATGGAAATTCAGAAGGAAATAATGTTATTTATTATTACTTAGAAAGAAAAAAAAATGTTCGTATGAAGTTGGAAATTCAACTAAGCAATCTTTTGCATTTTGTTTCGATAAAAATATTTTTATCTATCAAATAATAATTCTCGTCAAGGTTTTTTTTAAATAATGCCAATCTTTTTATTTTTTAAAATGTCAAAATTTATTAGATAGGTTATTGAATTATAATTGGATTTGGTAATAATTTAGAGGGAGAGTGAGCTTTAGTAATTAATGCCCATTGTATCACCTTTTGGTAATTTCCTTGGTCGAAACCTATAATGTTAAAACCCCACAAAAGCCCTTAACTCCGTCCCAAGTCCTAACCCTAACATTTCACTGCTGCTTTGTCTCTTCTCTAAAATGGCGTCTCGCTTCAGATCTCTCTCAAAACCAACGTTCTCTATCGTCAAATCCTCCATTAACAAACCAACCCTTAAACCCAAACCTCCCTCTCCTCTACTTCCTGCTCGTTCCTCTACCACATTCTCAAGGTAAGCCCTTTAAAAATCTTATCCTTAATTATAGGCTCCTTCATTTCTCCAATTTTTTTAATTTCAACCCTTTAATTTATCCTTTTGGTTTCCCTTAAATTACCTACTTTTGCTTCTAAATTGTCAAGCTTTAATTTTTTTCAGGTCTGTTTCTCAATTGGGTTGTCTTCAATCTCTGCTGCCTCTCCACTCAGCTGTGTCTTCAGCTCGGTTAACGTCGTGTCTAGGAATCGATTCAACGAGCTCTAGGTCATTGTCTCAGGGTATGCTTTGCAGTGCAAACCCAGGAGTTTGATTATCTCCAAAATGTTTGTAATTTTGTTCCCCTAAGCAACTTTTTAAACTCTAAAGTTAATTTGTAAAGTAATGTTGTTTGTTTAGGTTGTCTGATCTCTTGATATTTTGTTCGTGTCCAATTAAGTATCGCTGAAAGCTAGCAACTTTGAGACCATTTGTCCGTTCTTTTTTTGTTGCATCTCTGTTATAGTTCTTATCTTAATGTAACCGTTTTCCATTTCTTAATGTTTTGTTGATAGACTGAACCAAGAGAAAGTGAAGACATAAAGGTCTCTCACGTTCTTGTGTTCAGTTAGATAAAAATTAAGCAAATTGGACAGGCAAAGTATGCTGGGCTTGGTTTCAACTGTATATCAGAATGAAGTCAATCTAATAGAGATTAGTAAAAAAGGAGGGGGTTTCGTCGAATAAAAAGAGCTAGGCAACTTAGGGAAGACTAAATTATACTGACAAGTGAGTGGGATATGCATGTATGATGATCTGATAAATTGGGTGTATTGGAACAGGGGTAGATACAAACAAAGACACACCTTATGTTGGGGAGCTCACATCCTTTGAGTGGGTTGTATATGATTGATAACTTTTTACACTATACACTGATTTTTTTTTTAGTTCTTGCTTTGTCAATCAAAGTTAAAGATTGGTTTTTTTACTCTAATATGATTGCGAATATAGACTCTACTTATGTTGACCATTTACTTTCTGCATATACTGTAATCTAATAGGCTCCCTATATGATACAGATAATGTATACGTCTAAGTCAATAGCTGTCTATTTTGTTTTGTTCTGTATTTCATTGGTTTTTCTTTTCTTTTCAACATGATCTATAAGCTTGTGTGATTCTTCTCTGTCAATGAAGAATGTTTTACAACTTAGGCCCTTTTCCGTCATCCTTGTCAATTGATACTAAATTTAAATGGAGTTGTCAAGGCAAAACTTCACTTTTCTCTTGTTGAAATAAATAATAAAATGTACTTGTATAATTGTGAGATAGAGTTTTGTATGCGTCAGACCATTACTTGGACTGTATAAACTGATCAAGAAAAACCCTGTTTGGTTAAGGAGAAGAATTTGATTTTTAAAATTTTAGTTGCAGGAGATCAATGTGAGATATTCTTTTGCAGGAAATTCTAATTATCTGTATTTTCATGAAAAGATTTGTATATTTCCATCATCATCATGATGGAAGGTGCCTTTATTCAAGTCTTATTGCCTGTTTTGGTTGTTCCCGTGGCAAGTTATCTCTTATCTATTGTTTTATGCATTCTATGTATAATTGCTCATCATGCTATTTGTTAGAAGTTGCTTTAACTCTCAAGTGCCACCATACCTTGAAATAGTTTTAGTAAAAAGGGGTTTGTTTCTGTATCCTATTGGTGTTTACATATAATGTAGCTTTATTCACAATGGACTCAAAGAATCCTCTTATAGTTTCTTTGATATAGTGCTTGCTAATGCTACTTGTTTTTATAATTTTGTACAGAACTAGGTCTCAGTGTGCCTCGATAACATAGCAAAACTGGAAGTACCGCATGATGGGTCAGAGTCGTCGCATTCCATCTTATGATGATGTCCATTTGGATATTTATTATATTACATAAGTATTTCCTGTTCATTATTAGTCGAAGTTATTTTTCGAGTCTTGGATGCTGGATACAAGTTTGGATTTCAATTTTGAGCAGTTGATTGAACTAGGTTTCTTTAAATTATAGAATTGCTTTTGCCAGGTACCCCATGTCTCCCATGACTTTTAAGTAATGGTTGATGTAACGAATTTATTGATCCAATTACTTAACCATGTGTTTTTGTTTAAACATATTGTAGTAATGGAAAATGAAAGCAATAAATTGATGCTCGATTTCATACCCTATGTCTATCCTAATCTACCAGTATAAACTTCCTGGTTGCCTCCAAATAGACTTGACAATGCGTGTATCCGTTCATTTTTTCGTCTCATAATCATATTTAAGGTATTATTAACCTTTGATGTGTCCCCTTTCTGATCCAACTTGGAAGGGTTTGGAATTCTGCCGAGGTAAACAAATCTTTGATTGCTATATTATCTTCCTAAGGTGTGCAGGTGAGAAAGTAGAAAGTGAAGAGATGGGGGTGTTGTCTCCATGTCTCTTGTTTCTTTCGAAGTTTGCCTTGGCTATGGCGCCCATGTCTCCACCATTAACACAACATTTGCAGTGCTTATGGGGCCTCTCCCACCATCCCCCAAACACCTAGCTTCCCTTTGTATATTTCTTTTTGAGTTTCCTCATGTCGGCGTTTTCGAAAAAAAAAAACAAGTATGTGCTTCCATGTATTTTCAAACACAGGGAAGAAAGTTATAGATGGGATAATTTTTGCAATTTGCATGATCAAACCCTTCCTGCCTGTTTATCCTGTTTGTTTTTTCTCTAGATCAAAGAATCTATAGTTCATCTTCTTTTTTAAGTTATATAAATTATCGTTTTAAAACGCCATGATATGTAAATGTATCGTCCTTGAGACTATAAAATTAAATTTGTCTTTACTTCATTGCTCTTGTTCTGATCATGTTCAATGCCTTGCTACTCAACCAAAGTAAAAAATAATAATAACAAGGTTTATGCAGAATCTGGAAAAACCCCTAATAAGGAAATTTGTTTCCACAAAATCCCAGAAAGGAAGTTCATTGATGTAGTCTATGAAAAGAAAATGTTACCATAACAAGTATGGTTATATTTTGTAAAAAGAAGTTGGTTCAAATGATAGCTTCCAACTTCCCATGTTAGTGCCACTTTATGCCAAAGAAAAGAGAGCTGAAAGTGAAACCTGCAAGTTGTCCAAATGCAAAGACATTGACAGCAAAACTGGTCGCCAAAAGCAGACAATGTCTTTACTATTCGAAATGGAAATATTACCTCTCTGCATGGATGCCCATGTTTTCATAAGACCACTATTATTTATTCCCATATCTCAATATTTCTAAAAAAATGAATTTGTGTATGCTTTTCTCGTATGGAGCATTCAAGCATGAACTTCCTATTATATTTATCGAGTACCGAGGGGTTTTCAAAAAAAAAAATTACTCGGTGAGTTATTGCAGGCGGAGGGAAAAGACTAGATAGTAGGAGCAGGCATGCATATGCGATGTGCATGTGACCACCGCAAACTTCGCTTCCTTTTTCAGTTTTCACACAAAATTAATTGAATTTATAAATATGTCTGCAAAAACATATAACAACTGACCTACTACAAGAATAGCCTCTCTGTTATTTCGTTTGTTTTAACAAACAAGACAGAGGAAATGAGGAAATGGCTAATGCGTTGAGAATATTGTATATATGTTAAAATTGTATGGTTAATTGAATACTGATTTGGCAGGCCTATGGGATTAGAGTTGCCTAGGATCGTGCATAGACAGTAGCATCGTCAACGAATATTGTAACTGATGACTGATCATATTTTATATTTTTCCTATTAAAATCTCTCAGCTGGATCCCAATCTTTATTCGCATCACATGCTCTGCTATATATATTCTTTTAAGTCATGGAATAAGTTCTATTTTGAAAAAACAACCACATCTTGGAAACCTAATTTCCTATATATAATATTCATCAAACCCTGAATTTCCATGTTCATGTTTCTGCAAAAACTTTTTTTTTCAATAATCATGTCAGTTCATTCTTGAAGTTGTTGTGCAAAACAAAGGGAAGAAGGGCAAATGGTATTCGCAGAAAACGATAATTGAGCTACTTCATCATCGGCATTGATTTCATAAACATTCTCTGTATATCTGTGAAACTTAAAAGCCACTTCATCATCGGCGTTTCATTTCACTGAAATTTATGTTGATAATTGAGCTTCATGGTACAGTACTAGTTTAAAACAATAATATATATTCACTTAAAATAATCAGATATATATATGCCGCCTGATTCTCTTGTTCCCATAATAGTTCGTGCATCGCTTGCACATTAACGTTCAAAACATAAAATTTTGGCTAAATATTGACCTTATCCCCTTGTAACTAGGGCTTTAACCCTATTCAAATAGAGCCCTTGAAAAATGTACGCATTTACATATTAATCTGCCGATGGGGATAAACCCCGAAGATTACGTTTCGTGTGTCTTCACTCAATTCAGAAAAACAAAAACTCCATGTGAGGTGTACGAATTCAGGCAAACTAAATTAATAAATAAAGAATGTGTACATGACTTTCTTTTTTCTGTTAAAACTTTAAGGCTTTGCTGGAAAAAGATGGAAGATTAAAGGGGTGGAGAGCCTAAATCTTCTGCTGGGTTTGCAATAGTGGTCTTCAAGTGAATTACATGGTAAAGAATTAATGACGGGTGTTTCTTTATTAAAATTGTTTTGAGTGATATCAAATCGCATGTCCACCAGCTTGGGGAGGTATTGAAGTATTCATGCATAAGCTTAGTAAGCTTAGAAATGTCGATATTAATAATTAATGATGCACATAATGTTAATTAGTTATATATAAGATTCCAACTTTTAAAATTAATGTTCCAATCTAATGTTTAGCAATTGATTAATAATGGGTACATAAGGATATCTAGTGAATATATATATGTGCATCTGGGAACATAATTTACATATTATATTATGTATATATGTACTGGAGCTTAAAGGTCACACTAATGGTGGAAGTCAAAGCAAGAATCAAAATTGAAAGAAAAAAATATCAAATTCAATTGCCTGAAGTAAGAAAATTGGGTTTATAGAGTTTGCCAAATTAGGCAGGAAAAAGTCCAACTCAAGAGACGATTAGTCTACGAAATTATCCAAAAAAATAAACAACTGGAATTCATTAACTAAATTAGTTCTGGGGAAAATTCAGGAAGTCGAATTTAATTGAAGTTCCCTACTCTAGAATCAGCTGCCTGAAATTAGGGCCAACGTGTTGGTGGATCAAATAATCATCGCCGCTGGATACATCGAAAACCATGTTCTGATGATGGTGATGCATGAATTGTTGTTGATGTTGATGTTGAGCCCTTAACATTTCCTTCTGCCGCCTAAGCTCAAGCACCTTACGGTGAGAATTTGAATGTTTAGTGAGCACAAACGTCGGGCTCGAAGCGGGTCGGTATTCTGGCACAAGTCGCCCCGATTTATACCTCACCCCACATGCATTGCATAGTGTTTTGGGACCCATGGGACCAGTCCTCCACTGCGGCGTCTTATCCGTAGCGCAGTGCAGGCACTTCCGCCCATCCGAATTGGCAACGCCACCATCTTTCTTCTTCGACGACGTCGTTTTGACGTTTTTTTTGCCGGGTTGGTTTGGCGGAGGCGGTTGCACCGGGACGACGATGTCAGGATCGGAATATGAAGTTGTTGAGCTGAAAACGAGGAAACGGGAGGCCCAATTGCATGGTGCTGCCCGAGAGCGTTTGCTTCTGGCCTTGGCGGGAACCGACATCTCCGGATTGAAAATTGGGTTGTCGGTATTGTTACCGTGATTGTTGTCACCGTTATCAATGGCGTCATTAGTTTGGTTGGGTACAACGGGTTGGAACCTTCGGGTATCTAATGCGTCGTCGGCTCGAATGTTCATTCCTGATAATAGCTGCTGCTTTTGTAGGTCATCACTTGAAAACGATTCCTCCACGAAATTTGACAGCCATTCAAGCTCAGCTAAATCGTCGCACTGTAGATAATAGAATAAAAATATATATTATTATTATCAATAGAAATATTTCATTTTCACTTCTTTTTTCCTTCCGTAAAGCTATTCACGCAGCTTTAACCAATTTGCGTTTGCCATGCCCATGGCTTTTTATCTTTGTTTGGTTGCGAGGAAAATGATCAAAAAGTATAAAATACATAAAATTTTTACTTGCTAGTTGCTACCGTGTTTTAAAAATCCGAACCAAAATCCGAAGAAATATAGTTTCAAAATTTATTTTATTCCAAAAATATATTATTGCATGTAGGGGGGGATGAAATTACCGGCACATAAAGGTCTGCCGAGGAGTGAGCATCGGTAAAACCACGGCAACCAATACCGCCAACTAAATTGGGTTCGCAACCGGAAAACGATGACGAATTGCAGCTGTCGACGGCGGTAACTGTGGAAGAATCCGTGGAATGGCCTGCAGCTGAGGAGTCGAACGTTTGTTCAGTTATAACAGCATCCTCGTTGGAAAAATCGAGGAGGTCTTCCACGATGAAATGGTCAGCGGCGGCCGCTGGTTTTTCAGGCGCTAATTGTGAAGAGCAGCTGCTTGCTTGAAAGAATTCTGGCGCGTCCATAACTGTTTTTTTTTTTTTTTTGGTTTTAAGTTTTCTTTATTTGGGAAGCAAGTGTATAGTGTAGAGCGAAAAGAGAAAGGGAGAGAGAAGTATGGGGAGTTGTGGTTTTGAAGAGAGAGGGTTTATTTGCGTTTGAAGGGGGCAGGCAGACAGCTAAACTGGTGCATTTTGACGACGTTTAATTTTATTTTTTAATAATTAATAGTAATACCCAAAAAAAATTAAATTTTTAAATTTAAATATACTTTGATTGGGATAAAGGAAAATCTAGTGTGGGTAAAGTAAAGTGGATTTTTAATTAAGTCTTCTCTCTCTGTGCATGTTAGTTGGTCTAACAGCGGGTGGAGACGTAGCTATTCTCTTCCATTTTGAGTGATTTTCCTTTCTTAATCGGTCTAGGTTTTGTTGGGGTTTTGTTGGGATATGTCTGGTGAGGTTCTTATTGATTGGCGTAAGCTTTTTACGACGGGGATTGACTAGGAATTGGAATTCTTCCCACCTGCGGTAATTAAGGGTTCCTGCGTGGTTAAACCGCCAAAGCAAGTGTTTGACGAGGGGATTTCAGACTGGAAATATGCTTTTGTTGGCCAGTTTATAGGTTCGATTCCAGCTTTTGGCTCCATCCAGAAGGTTATCTCGCAGCTATGGGGTAAGTCTATTCCGATTAAGGTGAGCATTGCCGGGCAAAATTTGTACGTATTTTCATTTGCTAATTCGGTTGCTAAGGATTGGGTTTTAGATAATGGTTCATGGCATGTACAACATAAACCATTTTTTCTTCGAAAGTGGGAACCTAATTTGAAAGAGCTTCAATTTGATTTGAGTTGAATGCCTATTTGGATTCATTTATACAATGTACCTTTGGAATTATACTCTAGGGTGAGGCTTAGCTATATTGCTAGTGTTGTAGGGAAGCCCCTTCATATGGATGCTATTACTGCAGCTCGAGAGAGGCTTAAATACACTCGAGTTTTCATTGAGATTTCTGCTAGGTCTCAAATTCAAGATCATATAGATGTTATCTTGAGTGATGGTACAGTGACAAGAATTAGGGTCTCAATCCCTTGGATGCCTAGTTCTTGTGTTGACTGTGGTTGTTTCGGGCACTCTATGAAGCTTTGTCCTCAGGGAAAAATAACTGAGCAAGTCTGGAGAGCTAAGGGGTCTGCTAAGGATGTAGTGCAAATTTCTTCTGCCAGTAATGTGCTTACAGGGGAGGCAGTTCTAGAGGAGACTAACTCTGGCAAATGAACGGTACTACCAGCTAATGGTTTTTCAGTAACATATACCTACATGGCTTGTTTCTTACAAGCATATCTTTACATATCTTATTTTATGATCTTCCATTATCACATAATAATATTTTACATAAATCATGTATCATATACAAAGCATATAAACATATAACACATAAAGTCATATAAAACTATACTCATGTTCATGACTTCATGCATATTACTTTAGGAAATAGACTTATCGCAAGTCCAATTTCCAGTAAACATTATATATCACTAATATGCACTCACCTGGCCTCACTAGTCAATATCGATCTCTTATAACTCTTTGTCTTTCCCCCTATCGATCATACTTGCCAATTGTTCAGGAACTCGTTTAGGCTCAGTGTCTACATAAATATAATTTCCAAAACTTTATCAGAAGCCTAAACCTTATAAATACGATGCTAATAACTTAAACTAATTTAATGAACCATAATTCACTTTTTCTTTCACGAGGTATCGGTACCCTTACTGCATTCTGTTATTTTTCGTTCAAGAGGGTATCAGTACCTAACTGGGGTAGTGGTACCCTCATTACATTCTGTGATTTTTTTTGTTTGAGAGGGTATCGGTACCTGTTGAATGGGTACTGATACCCCTAACCCAGAAATCACATTTTCCACACGAAAATTACTTCATTTCATCTCAAACACTTTATGTTTCCTCCTCCTTCATATACTAAACTCCAATACACTTACTTAAGCCCATTTATACTCATTCAATATATCTTTAACTTAAAAATTATATCTTCCATGTGTAATTCAAAAATTACACCAACTTTACAACATGTACAAATTTCAATTCTAACACTTCATATTTCTTAATTCACTCATTGACAAGTCAAATTCAACTTAAAAATCTATTCACTCCTTCTATTTCAAATATTCACTTACAAACTCATTTTTCTTAATTTCTCATAACTTGTTAATCCTTGAGTTTTAAGCCACCTAAAGCTTTCCTTAATCTTTCTTAACATCCCAAGAATCAAAACAAGCTTTAAAATGAAAGAATTAACCAACTGAAGACCCACTTACCTTATACAAGACTTCACGGTGGAGAGGAGGAAGAAGAAGACTGAAGAATGTTCTGGAGAAATTATCTCATTCCCAAGTGTTTATTACCCTTTTATAAAGGAAAATAAAAATCTTCCCTGAAAAATGACCATAATACCCTTACTACTTTCAAACTTTGTTATTAAATCCAACATCAACACTTTTCATTTAAGTCCTTAAACTTTCAATCTTTTCTGAGATTGGTCACTAAATTACCAAAAATTCTATTTTGGTCATTGACCCGACTTTTGGGATGTTACATTTTGGCTAGTGAGGGCTCCCTTTGGGTGGCTTGGATGCACTCCTACGTTATTAGGAATGCTTATTTTTGACAGATTGAGGTCCCTACGAATGCAAGTTGGAGTTTCAAGTATTTGTTGAAAATCAGGCCTGCGATTGCTCAGCACGAGGAATATATGGGATAAGTTGCACACCTCTGCTCCCAAGGTTGCTTGGCACCATTTGGTCTGGTACCCTGGTAGAATCCATAAGCATAACATTATTGTATGGATGGCCATACTGAACAGATTACCCATTCGCGACAGACTCTTGCGTATGGGAATGGCCATTGAATCTAACAGATGTCTGCTGTGTGGCAACGAGGCAGAGTCAAGAGATCATCTCTTCTTTGAATGTCGATTTGCTAATGACTTATGGGGTTCCATTTTGGAGTTGTGTTGCATTTCTCGTGTAGCTGGCAGGTGGGATGGTGAATTGGCTTGGGCTTCCCTTATGCTCAAAGGCAAATCCCTCATTGTGAGATTGCTCAAACTAGCTTGGTCTGGACACGTTTACAATTTATGGAATGAGAGAAATAACAGGTTGTATGGGAGCGATGCTAGATCGAATGATGCAGTACTGGAAGACATTAAGGAGACCATACGATTTCGGTTAGAAGGTAAATGCTTCAATAGGGCAGATCCGTCTAACAATGCCCTGTGTGTAAAGTGGGTTTTTGTATGAGTTGTTCTTGTCTTTTACTCTGTCTGGTTTGCTGGTTAATGTGCTGTTTATAGCGTTCTGTTGAGTTGTTTATTGTCATTGTGTACTGTTGCAGGTTTTTTGCTTCTTTGGGTAATGAAAATTGAATTATCCAACAAAAAATCTAGTGTGAAGTTACTTTAGTGACCTTTCATATTGTGTGTGTGTGTGTGTGTTTTTACCTTTTTTGGGTTTTGGGTAGGGGTATGCAAAAATATCCGACCCGGTTAACCCGATCCGCCGAATTGAACTTAAAAAAATCGGTTATTTTTCTATTAAAAAACCCAACCGGGTCGGGTACCTGGTCCGACATTTCCGGGTTGAGCCCGAGTAACAAAATTGAGTTTTTCTGGGTACTTGGTTACCCGATTACCCGGTTAGTTATATATATATATATATAATGGATTATTTATATTATAAATTATTAGATTTTGTATTTCGAACTTTTAAATTTTATGTTCGGATGTTGGAGTATGTAATTTGAAGTTTAGAACATTTAAATTTATGTATATTTTTTTAAATTAATAATTTAAAAATGAAAAAAGGTATCGGGTACCCGCAAAATCCAGGTCGAAATACAAGCTGATAAATCACCGACTCGGATGTTGAGGGTACCCGGTAATCGGGTACTCGGATTTACACACCCCTAGTTCTAGGTAAGGTGTTGAAAACATTTTGATATTTCGATATAACAAATTAAGTTAAATGAATTTTAAGATTTTCAAAATGATTTTCTAAGTATATTCGATAGAATTATTCGAATATCAAAACATTACTCCAAATCTTTCAAAGATCATTTTTAATTCTTACTCAAAGTGTAAAATAAGTTTTAATAAAACAATTTCAAATAATTTTACAAAGTATTTCGAACCATTTCAAAGCCAAAAATTCCAGATTGCTCAGAGGGAACCGATTCCCCCTGAATGGTTTGGCTCCGAGAATTCCAGTATGCTCGGAGGGAACCGATTCCACCCAGGGGGTACCGATTCCCCCTTGTATAACGGTCGAAATATTGAATTTTTACACTTAGGGAACCGATTCCCCATAGGGGGTACTGATTCCCCCCACGCTCCAAGCTGTTTTATTAATTGTTTTCACACTAAAACGGCTATATGATCTTCACTAATTATCCCTAACGTCCAGAAGTGATTCAAGGTGTATTTAAACAAGTTTTGAAGCCCTTGATCAATAAGAAATCATAGAGAAACAAGAGAGAAAGCATCAAACACCAAGTTTGTGCAAATCAAGCCAATTTTCCTTTCAATATTCATTTTGCTTTCAAGAACACCATTTGTGCTCATTTGTAATTATCTTTGAGTGTTCTTTTCTTGTTCTAGAATTGTGCAAACATCTTACATTGTGAGGTTTTCCTTGTAAGTTTACAAATTTGTAATCTTCTCTTTGGGAAAGAGTGTTCTCAAGAATTGGGGTATATTCTTGAGGGTGTTGTAAGGTTATCTCTTTGGCCTCAAAAGAAAGAACAAATTAGTGAATTTGTTGGAAAATCCTTAGTGTGGATAACTAAGGTAGTGGACGTAGACTTTGATTGAGAAAGTTGAACCACTCTAAATCGCTGTGCAATTACTTTCAATTTTCTGCAAAGCTTCCACCAAATTTTAATTGCCAATTCACCCCTCTTGGCCAAATCCGTCAATCGATTAACTCAACAATTGGTATCAGAGTCTAACTCATTTGAAGGTTTAATCGCCTCTTGAGTCGATCTGGAAAGAGTTAAATCGATAAAGATGGCGTCCACTTCCGGTTCATTCTCCATAGAAGAATCCTGACCAATTGACGTGCCTCCACACTTCAATGGAACAAATTATCGTCATTGGAAGAGGTGTATGATGATATTCATCAAAGCATTTGATATGGAAGCTTGGATGATAATCAAGAAAGGATATTCCTCTCCTACTAAGAAGGCAAAGAAGTGGAGTATTCAAGAACGGAATGAAGCTCAACAAAACTCAAAGGCTATGCACATGTGTGTGTGCAATTGATCCTAATGTATATAAAGGAGTTTCTTCTTGTTCAAGTGCCAAGAAAATGTGGGATAAGCTTGAGGAGATCTATAGAGACAAGGAAGAGAAGAACCAATAAAAGTGATGTCTATTAGCTCTCACAGAGCCAAAGGTATCTTCTAACTCAAATATATCAAATTCAAAATCTTTTAATGAGTTACAAGATGCTTATGATAAATTATTTTCAGAGTTTGAGACCATGAACTCCAAATACAATAAATTGATTTCTAAATTATTACTAAAAATGATTCTTTTGAAAGCTAAAACAGACTTGGAAAATCAAAATGAAATGTTGAGAAATGAGTTAGAGCTTTCAAAAATAAAATCTGAAAACTTTGAAAAAGAAATTTTCAAATTAAACAAACTTCTTCTAGAATGAAAATGGATTTGAAAATCAAAATGAAATCTTGAAGAAGGATTTAGAACTCTCAAAATGAAATTTGAAAGTATTGAAAAAGAAATTTTCAATTTAAAGATAAGCTTGAATGTTTAACAAAATAAAAAGAGATCATTTTAAATAATTTCTAGTTCAATAATGACAATATGTTCACATTGTCATTATCATGGTCATAAGGAACATACTTGTCCTTTAAAGAAAGGAAAACGATTTAAAATTAGACAAGTATGGGTTCCAAAAGGAACAAGAGGCATGAACTAATGTTCAAGGATCCAAAGCAATTTGGATACCAAAATCTACTTAAATGTCTCTTGTAGGTGTGTGGGAGCAATGGTGATAAAGTTGATGATATTCAAGATGCTCTAGCCACACATGAAAAAGGAATGGGTAATCTCTAAACTTAATGTTTTATTTTATTTAGTTGCTCATTTATTCTATGCATGCATGAGGTTTTAAATGTTAAAAATTCTAAATGATTATGTTTGTCTCATGTATGTTGAAAAATATTATATGAACATAATAATTTTTGGTAATGTTTTATAAACTCTAGTTCATCATATTAATTTTGGTCAAAATGTTTTTTTAATGTAATTGATATCTCTTTAACAATTGATATCGATTTTTCAAGAACTTTGGTTTTGCAAAATTTGACCTTAAATTTTTCTTAATGATTATGCATATTTTTTTAAATAATATAAAGTTTAATGCATAACATTTTCAAAAAATTTTGCATGTGCTCTTAATCTCGATCAACATTGCATAATGTTTTGTATGTGAATGGATTAAAGCATAATCTGATTAGATGAATTTGACAAAAGATACAATGTCTTATTTTTAAATTAAGTGTTTGCAAATTGATTGACATTGCATCTACTTGATTATGCTTGTTGGTCATAGAATAGAAAACACATACATGGTGCATTTAGATTCTATTGATATGACTAATTTGTGCCTAGTTGCTAAGGATGAACATGATAGTTGGTTATGGCATAGGAGACTAGGACATGCTAGTATGAGTGTTTTGCAACGGCTAATTCAAGGTGATTTAGTTCGAGGGTTGCCTAAGCTTAAATTTGATAATGATAAAATCTGTGATGCTTGTGCTAAAGGAAAACAAAAGCGAGTTTCTTTTAAATCCATTAATGACGTATCAACTAGTAGAGTATTACAATTGATCCACATAGATCTTTTTGGGCCAACTAGGACTACTAGCTTGGGTGGAAAACAATATGCTTTTGTCTTGGTAGATGACTGTTCTAGATATACTTGGGTTTTTTTTAAGTACTAAAGATGAAGCATTAGAACAATTCATCACATTTTCAAAAGTAATCCAAAACGATTAAGGTTACTCTATAACTAGTGTTAGGAGTGATCATGGCACTGAATTTGAAAATCTTGGATTTACTGAGTTTTGTAATTCTAATGGTATTAGCCATAATTTTTCAGCACCTAAAACTCCTCAACAAAATGGAGTTGTTGAGAGGAAAAATCGAACTTTAGAAGAAATGGCTAGAAGCATGCTTTGTGAAAATAATTTGCCAAAATATTTTTGGGCGAAAGCCACAAATACCGCTTGTTATGTTAAATCGAGTAATGATTAGGCCAATTTTAAAGAAAACTCCATATGAAATTTCAAAAATAAAAAGCCTAACATTAGTTATTTTCATCCTTTGGATGTAAATGTTTTGTTTTAAACAACGGTAAAGAAAACCTTGGCAAATTTGATGCTAAAAGTGATGAAGGAATTTTTCTGGGTTATTCCTTAAATTCTAAAGCTTATCGAGTATTTAATAAAAGAACTTTAGTTGTAGAAAAGTCTATACATGTTGTTTTCGATGACAATCCCCTTCCGAGGAAGGATTCTTGTGTGAATGATGATGTAGGTGTTATAAATACAAATGACGTTAGACATGACGTTGGAGAACCATCATCAAAGAAAGAAACGAAAAATGAGGAAACTCGTGATCCTCTTGAGACTCCAACCATTGAAGAAAGGGAAATATCTTATCCAAGAGAGTACAACTATGTCAAGGATGGTGAAATTATAGGTGATCCATCAAAAGGGGTAACAACTCGATCTTATCTTAGAAATATTTGTAATTATGTTGCATTTATTTGCGTAGAGCCTAAGAATATTAAAGAAGCATTAAATGATGAACATTGGATTATGGCTATGCAAGAAGAGTTAAATCAATTTGAGAGAAGTAAAGTATGGACATTAGTTGAAATGCCTAGTAATAAATCTACTGTAGGTACTAGATGGGTATTTAGGAATAAACTTGATGAGAGTGGTAATATAGTAAGAAACAAGGCTAGACTTGTTGCTCAAGGGTATACTCAAGAGGGCATAGACTATGATGAAACATACACTCCTGTAGCTAGGATGGAAGCAATTAGAATGTTATTAGCATTTGCATGTTTTCATGAATTTAAATTATATCAAATGGATATTAAAAGTGCATTTTTAAATGGTTTTATAAAAGAAGAAGTGTATGTGGAACAACCTCCAGGTTTTGAAGATTCAAAATTTCCAGATCATGTTTAAATTGACAAAAGCTCTTTGGTTTAAACAAGCTCCTAGAGCTTGGTATGAAAGATTGTCAAATTTTTAATTGAAAAAGGTTTTTCAAAAGGAAAGGTTGACACATTGTTTTTAAAACATAAAGGTAAAGATTTATTAGTAGTTTAA